ATCGACATAACCCTTGCCAGGCCGCATTGCTTGTAGCACACCACCGCTGCGTGTTAACACCTGAAGTCAAGTGTATGCACAAACACCAACCAAGCAACACACAAACACAAACAGGATCAGCAGCAGCATGAGAATGAGATTGAGTTAAGTTCAGCGGAAAAGAAAAAAACAGCGACCATAGCTTCCCCAGGGCTAACACTGTGGTATCTTAGTCATTGCCAAACTGAGCATCACCATTATGTTATCAATCTCTTGAAGCTGTGCCGGCAGTTTCCACCCCTAACTATCAGAGACCAATATACGGCTTGCCAAGCCCTAAGTTGGTTATTTCGTTTACAGACACTGGCGTGTGACAGCTCTATGGTATCAGCCAATGGGATATCCGGGTCCCGGCCACAACATCCTCTGAACAGCAGTCTGCTTCAATCCCGGGTCATGTTCGGAGGAACGACAAAATTTGAAACGCCCATACGAGCAAGTACATGCGATGAGGTCGCCGAGTGCTTACATCTCTTGCAGCCTGCGGTGTTGACACACACGTGAAGATGATGTCGGACCGATCGACAACCTCTCCCGGAGAGGACGCCACTTGACCACCGCATGACAATAGCTCGCTGTGTTTCTGTATGCACAACAGCAGACCAAGAACATTAGCACAAGCAAAAAACAAAAAAACGAGGGGTCTATTGTTATTAGGCAATTGTCTGTTATAGTCACCCCTATAAATAAAATCCAAAATAAAATCCAAAAACTGACGAGGGTCATAGACCGAAACGTTGAACGAACAAACGAATTTTGAGTAAAGTGTAGAAAGCAGTGTGGTTTGAGGTGTGGCTATTAGCCTACAACATAATTGGATATAGCAACCAGTGAAGCACAAGGAAACAAGGAAACAAGGCAAAACACTTCTAGTACAAAGAGAAGACAAAAGAGAAGACAAAAGAGAAGACTCTGCAAAGATGCAAGTAAAGCACAGAACAGAAGAAGGAGAGCAGCTTACGCGTAAGCCAGAGCGGTTCCAGATGACGACGTTGTGACTGTTTTTGAGTAGATTCCTGGCCATCTCCGTGCCCATGATGCCCAGGCCGATGAATCCGTAGCTGAGACACATAGTCACACACACATACACAGTCACACACCACAGCAACACCATGCATGTGAGCAAGCAGAGACTCTGCTACAATGCTAAGAGCTTGATTCCCCTTTGCCAGGTGCGTCTCAGAAAGAAAGCCTCCGTGTGTATTCTTGCTCAGTAATGCCCTGGATAGGCTGCAGGCCGGCTGTAGACCCGCAGCAGCCATAGCACTCAGCCTGGCAAGAACTACATGCCAACGAGCATACCAACAGATACAACTATGCATACATGCATACATCCATAGGGGACAACATAGCCAATGAGCCTACCAGCAAACACAACCATGCATACCACAGTGTAATCCACTCACTTGCAATGTGTAGTTGTCGGGTTGGACGGCAACTGGGGACAGGGGAAGACAGAAACACAGGCAGTCAGTCAGACAATCAAGGCAGGCAGGCAGGCAGGCAGGCAGGCAGGCAGGCAGGCAGGCAGAGACAGATAACATTCACACCGGCTTGTCTGAAGTTTTATGTTCTTTCTGCCCCCCCCCCCCCCCCCCCACACACACACAAACTCACCTTGCTAGTACTATCAGCCGGCACAGTCTTGGGTAGTTTGGGCGGAGGAACACCACCATCACTTAGATCCACAGCGCGTTTCTTCGGCAGCGGCGTTATGAGTGCCACGTCACTCTTGGCAGCAAACTTGATGTGCGCAGCTTGCTGACCAGTCCGTTCCACGACCCTGGCGGTCGGCAATACACCAGCACGCTTCAAGCTACCTTTCCTCGGTTTGGGAATGTGTAATGCTGCGTCAGCTGAACTGGATTTCGTTGATTGATTGCTACTGGCAGAGGCAGAGGCCTGAGAGGGGGAAGTTGCCAACGTAGGTGATGTACTTACGCCAGCGCCGCTGGAACTGGATTGCGTTGCACTGCCGGAGCTGCGCGCGTTGGTGGACTTGCGCGCCGACATCGACTTGGCCATGGTGGCGTTACTAGCGCCGCCATTGTTGCGTGTCACAGCTACTGCTACTAACGACGTGGCCGACGACGATGACGACAGCGGAGATGACGCCAGGGAAGACGATGCAGACGATGGTGCCCCCGCTGCAAAACTGTTCGACTCAAACGTGCCAGCGTCCTGCTGCAGTGTTTTAGATACGTTTTTCTTTGCCTGTGCGACTGAGCAGGCTTGATATTCCGGCCAGAGATCTTCGGCCATCTCCGGAGGTACGGTTCGCTTCAGCTCATTGACGCTCTTGACAAACGTCTGTCCCTTGGCTCTCTTGCCGTCCCTGACGATTCGGTCGTAACCATCCGTGGTGATCGGCTTCACCTTGGCATGTGCCACCCTGTGTGTGCGCGCGTGTGTGCGTGTGTATGTGTGTGTGTGTGTGTTAATCACAGAGCAGATGGATAAGACACAATTTGAAGCATGCATATGCTGTAGCAAGGTCCACAACACACACACACACACACACACACACGCACGCACACACACACACATGCACACACACGCACATACATACACACATACACACACACACACACATGCACGCACACACACACACACCCATACATACACACACACATACACACACACATACGCACACATACGCACACACACGCACACACACACACTTTCGTTGCGCCAGGTGGCTTGCTTCACGATACCAGACTGTAGAGACTCCATTAAGCATGGTCATATAGAAACAGGACACCAATAGAGGGGTGATCATTAGAACAGCGTGATGATGCACCAACATGCGTTTATCACCCCTCCCCTTCCCGAGACACACACACACACACACACACATCAATGTACGCACGCACACACACACACACACACACACACACACACACACACACACACACACACACACACACACATCAAGGTACACGAAAGTGGGTGCATTTTGTTGTTGCTTTGCAGGTTACAGATCCCATTACAGATCCCGTGCATTTAGCACTTACCATCGAACATGAGTTACAAACCTATCGCCGTTGTCTGTTATTCTTGTTTTATTTTTGATCTTTCGAATAGATCCCGTGCATTGAGCACCTATCATCGAACATGAGTTATGTGCCTATCGCCTGCTGTCTTACATTTATTTTTTACATTTATTTTTTATTTTCCTCTCTGCCTGTCTTCTGGCACATGCGAATACGTGGACCTACTGTTGACGTAAACGCGGACGTGTGTATAATAATAATAATAATAATAATAATAATTTGCAGGTTATCATTATTTCTGCGTTGGGTGTGCCAGCAGGATACTGCCAAGCAGCGCTCATGCCTTGTCACGCCAACACTGCAACAGCGCAGCGAGAATCCAGTGGCTGCACCCACACCACCGGAATCCAGTGGCTGCAACCGCACTGCCATCCTGCTCGGTTGTCGAGGATAACTACGGTTTGCTACGCAGTATGCGGGAATCCTACAGTCCTGCTCTATGAAATTCAATCGCGTGAGTCGAGTACGAGCGTCGGGCACTGTGCAGCCGTAGACCTGCGGACACTGGCCAGTCGTACAGGGCGCAAAGCTGACTCATTTGATCCGATTTCATAGAGCAGCACTGTACATCAGCGCACTAGGGGCGCATCCAGTTGAGCTTGGTTTGAACACTGGCTTTAATATGTGACCATATTTTAAACCACTGCTTTTTATATGTAGCGAAGTGTAGATGGGTGACATAATTACATCCACAAGAGGAGGCTAGCATGCACATACATATACTCACGTTTTCTTTTGTCCCAAAAACTCCACATAATGTTGATCATCTGTCTTGGAGAGTTCCAAGATCTGAACAAGCAAACGTCAACACAAAACAAAGAGAATGAATACGAGTTGCAAGAGAAGAACAGCTACGTGCAGTTAGACACGGCAAGGCAACCACTCCGAAAAGACGACCACCCGTCCCACAGGACCACTACAATTACAGGACCAAGGAATGTTATTCCCCGTCCAATGTCCCTGGATAAGGAGACTGTCTGTGCATGGAAACTACTGTAGTGGACATGGAAATCCAGTCGATTGACCCGGGCCGGCGCCCTCAGCGCGTACAGAACGCTGCGTGCAGTGCACAGTCATGTTGATCCGATGCGACCAGCTGAGGCAGCGCGCTGCAGCGCATATAAATAATAAATGCATGTGTGTACCGCTTATCCACGGCTGCATGGCCAGCGCCCTGGGGCCGCTAGACGTGCGACCGGATTTCCATGTCCACGACAGTATATTTCTAAGGTTCATTGAGCTGTCGGCTTAGCTAACAGATTTCACTGCAGCTTGGTTGGAGTCTGAGCCATACGTGCCCTTGGTTGTGATTTCTAAGTACATAATTAGTTCACTCTCTCACAGGTGTCTCGTGCAGCGCAGCGCGTAAGCGGCATGTTTGTAAAGAAGCATATTGATCTCCTATTTCCTTTCACGTGGCAAAGGTACGTACCTTAGCAGGCCAGTGGGGAAACCCGGTCAACTTCGCCCTGTTTGCACATGAACAAAATACAAGGCACCAGTAAAATGGTCAATGAACATTGAACAACTTTCTTGGAGGCAAAAAAAGTTATACCGGTAACAGCAAGATTCACAAACTTCAAGCTCTCAACCATAAGCATTGGGATTCAAATATTTCACAAAACCCGTTTTCGTGCTTTCTCATCAAGTGAAGTAAAAGCCAGCTGAAGTAGAAACACGCGCAGTAGTAACGCCATTCCAACTACGGGATAAACTCAGTGAAGAAACGATGTGCAAAGACAGCGGGAACCGGGGAAAAGATGTGAAAAGTGAGACGAGAGCAAAGAATTCACAGTGCAAAGACAAACAACAACGAGTCACTACATGAACTTGTGAGACAGGGGATCAGTGAAAAGCTTCTGGATAAAGAGGTATCACAGGGCTTTTTTCTTCTTTTATTTTACATAGTGATAGCTTCGTAGTGTAGATATAATATCATAATTATGTATATCTATATAATACAAGATTAGAACGTGTTAGAAGCCATTTAATTAACTTCTAACACTTTCAAATCAATGAGACCATGCACAAGGGTATGTGGCAAAACCACAAAACAGAAAAGTGACTACCAGTATCAACATATACACGACCATACTATTACTAGTAACCAGCCTTATCAATGAGGTGATTAACGACACAAGAACCATGCTCGTCATCAACAGAACAAACATCGGTTCGTGAGCTAGCCGGAACGTAAACATTTGGCAATATTTTTTTAATGTTCACTGAGAATTTTCTCCACGTTCCGTCTCAACGACTCACCAGACATATTGTCCAACTACCAATGTTGAAGCAGCCATTCTCGGACAACTGAGGTTACTTCCCAGGCTCTGGTTTTCACTGATAGTGCGGCGTGTAGGCAGCCAGAAAATAGTCCAAAACCCACTTAGAAAATAGTAGGAACATTCGCTTCAAAAATATAAATTGTCTGCAAATTGGAGACGGCTACAAAATACGAAACTATGCAGCTCCGGTCAGTCCAACTGAATTCTTTATACTATTTACTGACTCCAGGAGGGGCACTGCTTCGCCCAAGCTTTGGCTGATCAGTCTTAGCAATTGTTTCCAGTGTCAACAATTTAGTGACAACAAACTAACGTGATTTTCCTCATCTTTGAACTGACGTGCATGATGAAGAATTTTGGACAAATGCACAACTGTGTTGATGTGGCCAGAAGATGTGGGATGACTAGTTGCAGGTCTCCGAATCTCCGTAGCTACGTAGCTACACAGGACCGTACCGTTTCCGTGGGACCGCGCCCATCGCGTCGAGCTGCGCGGTTTATGCCGATTATCGTACAGACTCAGTGCACTACACACGTACACACGGTACACTGCATGCACTGCACTGCATGCACTGGTTGTTTGCACCCTTGCAAGAACACGTGTTGGCTTCTGCCACAGTGCACTAGCGCCACATAGAGCCAGTTGAGGGGACTGGGAGCTGTTCCCCTTATCCGGATCCGATATCCATTGATTCCGCTACCCTCATGCTCCCTCGTGACCATACCATGTGACGTCCACTCCATAGTCCATGCCATGGTGACTGCGCTCGCGATAGTAGGTGATAACAAGATACAGTTTATCAAAGATCCTTACAAAAAGAGTTCTTGGTTGTGAGGCCGACTTTATTGTTACCAAACGCCTCTAGCTCTCGAATGAAGGGGTGGGTAGTGGCTCTCTGGCTCCGACTCCAGCGGGGTCCGGGCAAGCTATGTTAGAAATATGCTCCAATCCGACTCACCATGTGCACGCTCCAAGCCTACCCAACACGAATCAGCGCTCTCTATCTCTGTCTCTATCTCTGTCTCTGTCTCTATCTCCGTCTCTATCTCTGTCTCTATCTCTATCTCTATCTCTGTCTCTGTCTCTGTCTCTATCTCTGTCTCTGTCTCTGCCTCTATCTCTGTCTCCATCTCTGTCTCTATCTCTGTCTCTATCTCTGTCTCTATCTCTATCTCTATCTCTGTCTCTATCTCTGTCTCTGTCGCTGTCGCTATCTCTGTCTCTGTCTCTATCTCTATCTCTGCCTCTATCTCTGTCTCTATCTCAGTCTCTTTCTCTATCTCTCTCCATCTCTGTCTCTATCTCTGTCTCTATCTCTGCCTCTGTCTCTATCTCCGTCTCTATCTCTGTCTCTATCTCTATCTCTATCTCTGTCTCTGTCTCTGTCTCTATCTCTATCTCTGTCTCTGTCTCTGCCTCTATCTCTGTCTCCATCTCTGTCTCTATCTCTGTCTCTATCTCTGTCTCTATCTCTATCTCTGTCTCTATCTCTGTCTCTATCTCTGTCTCTGTCGCTGTCGCTATCTCTGTCTCTGTCTCTATCTCTATCTCTGCCTCTATCTCTGTCTCTATCTCAGTCTCTTTCTCTATCTCTCTCCATCTCTGTCTCTATCTCTGTCTCTATCTCTGCCTCTATCTCTGTCTCTATCTCTATCTCAGTCTCTTTCTCTATCTCTCTCTATCTCTGTCTCTGTCTCTGTCTCTATCTCTGCCTCTATCTCTGTCTCTATCTCTATCTCTGTCTCTACCTCTGTCTCTATCTCTGTCTCTGTCTCTGTCTCTCTCTCTATCATCTCGAGGCTCTGTCTCTAGCTCTATCTCTGTCTCTATCTCTGTCTCTATCTCTGTCTCTATCTCTGTCTCTGTCTCTGTCTCTATCTCTGCCTTTGTCTCTATCTCTGTCTCTATCTCTGTCTCTGTCTCTATCTCAATCTCTGTCTCAATCTCTGTCTCTGTCTCTATCTCTGTCTCTGTCTCTGTCTCTGTCTCTATCTCTGTCTCTATCTCTGTCTCTATCTCTGCCTTTGTCTCTATCTCTGTCTCTATCTCTGTCTCTGTCTCTATCTCTATCTCTGTCTCTATCTTTGTCTCTGTCTTTGTCTCTATCTCTGCTTCTGTCTCTATCTCTATCTCTATCTCTGTCTCTATCTCTGTCTCCATCTCTGTCTCTTTCTCTATCTCTGTCTCTATCTCTGTCTCTATCTCTGTCTCTACCTCTGTCTCTATCTCTGTCTCTATCTCTATCTCTGTCTCTTTATCTCTATCTCTGTCTCTATCTCTGTCTCTATCTCTGTCTTTATCTCTATCTCTGTCTCTACCTCTGTCTCTATCTCAAACACACACACACACACACACACAAACACACACACACACCGTAATAAATTATCGTGTCCGTTCCCCAAGGGAACTCACGACGGCCGCTAACACCCGGTAAACGATAGCGGCACCTCAACACACACACACACACACACACACACACACACACACACACACACACACACACACACATACACACACACACACACACACACACACACACACACACACACACATCTCTGTCTCTGTCTCTGTCGCTATCTCTTTCTCTACCTCTGTCTCTATCTCTGTCTCTATCTCTGTCTCTGGCTCTATCTGTGTCTCTTTCTCTAACTCAGTCCCTGTCTCTATCTCTGTCTCTGTCTCTATCTCTGTCTCTATCCCTGTCGCTACCTCTGTCTCTGTCTCTGTCTTTATCTCCGTCTCTGTCTCTATCTCTATCTCCGTCTCTACATCTAACTCAGTCTCTGTCTCTATCTCTGTCTCTACCTATGTCTCTGTCTATATCTCTATCTCTGCCTCTATCTCTATCTCTAGCTCAGTCTATATCTCTGTCTCTACCTCTACCTCTATCTCTGTCTCTATCTCTGTGTTTATCTCTATCTCTATCTCTCTAGCCTATGTTTGGTGTACGTGTAGTAGCGGGGTCGAGCGGAGTGTGATGTGGATGATGTGTTGGGATTGGAAGGAAAGTAGTCGATGGTTTTCGTTGTGTTGAAACGGAGATGGCAATCGTTCAACCATCGTCCTGCTGCGTCAACAGCGCGTTGGAGGAATGCAGCCGATAGGTCCCTGCTGTGATGCATCGCGTTGAGCCAGATGTACCAATGAAGTCGTAGGAACATGGTGTCTTAGACCTTCAAGGTTAGGCCTCATCATCAGGAGTGCTCAGAGTGACTGGTGGAACTGATAGCAACGAAGGTCTAGTATTTTAAAACAAAAAAACTAAGAAGAAAGGACCAAACGTCTACAAGTTACCCATAGTTGTCCAACACTGGCAATTATTTCGAAAAAAGTATAACTCTGATGGTGAGCCAATATAATTATGATGAAGAAAGGAAAAGGACAAAAATAATGTTACGAGTTATGACAAACCAGTTTTGTGCCATTTTGTCGCACTCGCTGACTGTATAAGATCTGGTTACGTTGGTGGACAGTTTGTCATAACTCGTAACCTTTTGTCCTTTTCCTTTTTTCATCATAAAAAGTATAAGGTTGATGATGAGTCATACTGTGACGTGCAACAGTTTAGCAAAATTACTGCTTTGGTCCTTTCTTCTTACTTTAATCATTGGCTCTCCATCCGAGAGACAAGAAAACATTAAATCGGACCAAGGCATCAACGTCAGCGTGCTCTTGCTGCGAGAAGCACAGTGAGCACTGCATGCAACCTTCCTTTTTCCTTCTTTCTTTTTCCTATCTCTGCTTTTCCACAATATCCTTTAAAATTGTATTGACAGTGGGTCCATTGTTATTAGGCATTATACCTGTTTCGATTTCCACTATAAGTAAAGTATACGACAACATCTCCCCTATGATCCCAGTCCATTCTAACAACATGTACGAAAGCAGATAACGTAACGTTGTTACCTGTATCCGGACATTCCGGATCTGAACCCTTATAGTAGGCCGGAATTTACGGACCCGTGCGGCAGTGCCCCGCGCCCCCCGCCAGCTGCGCAGCATACTGAGCATAGTAGTACTGTCAGTACTGTACTGGGGCACTTGCCACCGATGTCCATGACTACTGAGTAACCTCTCTTGAAAGTTGAAATGGCACCACAGGGGTGGCTGAAAGTGAAGGTGCTAAAAATAGCCCACACGTCTTGACAAAGTGCGTGTTGTCAAAGTGGACATTAATGTTATACAGTGTACAATGTTTTGTAGTACATGTATAATAAGAGTGAAGCAGTCACTCCTGGCCTGCATTCTTGACTTCTTGTACGTACTAAAGCAACACTACAGCGCAGAATTACCTACACAGAATGATCCCTCTGCTCAAGGCATCCATGCGTGGTGGTCATACTACGCATGGTTTTTGAAACTAACATGCCACTCAACACCGTCCATAATTATTGTTATCTGTACTTCGAAGAACATGTTAATCTCATTGCTCTACATGTACATGCCTTTGTACTCCACTGTGTATCACACTTCACACGTTTAAAGTCACTCTAAACATAGTCGGAATCCCTGTACGTGTGCGACGCACTATGATTGTACGTGCCGGTGATTGTAGGAATGTATTACCTCAGTGAATTATTCCAAGATTATAACCATTGTCATCGCCGATGTCGCTACCAATA